GACGGAGTGTCAACTTTTCCCCTAACTCTTCTGCACACAGTATATTGTTCCTCCTACTCTGGCCTTCCCAAGACATCTCTCTTATCTTCTAGGGAACCGGGCCTGGAAGATTGTAGCTGTTAGGGTTAACCTCCTTAGCCTTAACTCCTATACGCCTTCCCACAAACTCCTCCCATTACGCGCAGCGGTCGTCACGTCCGTTTTCCCGATCGTTATCATCTTGTGCAATATGCCTAATCCTCCTACCTTTTCTTCCTATTTAATTTTTTCCGAACTCCGTTCTCCTAGGAGGGGGAGTATTTTAGTAACATTGAACTGCCTCTTTGTCTTACTCGGTTAAATATGCTTTGAGTTAACTTTACACAACTTTTAAATAAGACGTTGAATTAGCACGTGCTTTTATCCGTAAACGAATTTATTCTTATTTACTCGTTCGTACCAGTTGGGATACTCCTATCTCAGGTTCTCGGATAGACTGTTTCGTACCGCACAAATGAATCAATGGTACGGAATCGGAGGAAACAAGAAGATGACCAGAGCCAAGTAAATCAAAATAAACGAGAGAGATCAAGGAGAGACGGCCATTGTTAGTGGAAAAAGTTAACAGTAGGTTACTGAACAGAGAGCAGCAGGGAGAGGCGTCTCTACAGGCTCTATTGGAATGGAGGCAAGAAAGTTAGCACGGAACATGAAATTAATGACTGTGGAGGGCGTATTGCTCGATGCTTTCGTTTTATGAAACGATGCAATCCCTCCATTGGCACACGAAGTACCGTGTTGCAACTGTAGCGGTCTCTGCCGTCCGTCTATTGCTTTGTCCGGCGTCATTGTTCAACGCCAGCTGCCTCAAGGTCATCCAATAACTCAGTCAGCGCTTACAGACGCGCTGACCTACAGAGACTTGACCTACTTCCACTCGGACACACATATGTATCTAGGTTCTCGCGGCTACCCAAGCACCAGTCAAACAAGTCCCTCTTTCCCCACTCTCGGCCGCCAGACATCACTTAGACCACAGCGTTCCAGCGGAATGACGTGTGCTCCGAAGTCCAGCTTCTCTCCACCTATTCTTCGCTCCTTTGTGTACACAATAAACCATTCCTTCTACTCTGGCCTTCCCAAGACTT